TTGATATTAAATACTGATATGGTCCAGGCTTCGGGTCTTTTGTCAATTCCAGACACTTATTTCAAGCTTCAGGAAAGGTTACCATACTCTGAAGATCGGCGTGATGTTTGGTCCAGATCAATGCAAGATATCACATCAGTTTATGATCGGATGTGGAAAATAGTTTCAACATGTTTGCTCCGTGGCCTTTTTACTTTTTGTAGTACGCAGATGTTAGATATTAAACTATAACACATGCTAAGAGAAATTGCGCCACAAACCAAGATACAGGCATACTTGTATTTTAGTGTTTGCACCTGTATAGACAAAAATCAAATAAAGAATTCGGCTTACTTTCAAGTAAATAACACCCCATGATAATTTCTATTTTTTTCTGCTAGCTATAGTCTTTATGTTTGAAAAATCTAATTGCTTGACCTCTAAAGGTGGATATAAGTCATGTAGACGAAACGATTAGAAGTTGGATGACTGTGTTGCTCAATCTTCTTTTTTCTGTGTACTGTTTTGTTTATATGTTCGTCTTTTTTCTCCTTCTTCTGTTTATGGTTCTTGATTGCTCTGTTGGTATCTTCCCTTTTTTCAACACCGCAAGTACCGTATCCGGATACAATTACTCTCCTCATTAATAAGTTTTAACAGATCTTGTCTTTTTATTGGATCAGTGTGTTTCACATAACCATCAACCAACATCATCATCTCAAACATCAGTTTTAAGATTTAAGCATTTACAACGACATGTATTTTACACACAAAATAAAGTGTATATGATTACAAGCATGTGTAGTATGAAATATACTCGCTTTTGTAAACACGAAACAAATCATATGTACGTCGAGGATAAAGCATCTTTATCCCTTTTTTGTTAAGAAAACGTACAAGTGGTTCATTTTTCTATTTGGTTAGGTTTTGAATGTATATCACCGAATGAAAATTTTCGAAACCATTGAAGGTTTCTTTCTAGTTTCTGGTGTCGCGCCTGAAAACATCGGAAACAGGTTTCTTGCCTTTGTCATTTCGAAGAGATTGATTGTAATGTCTTCCTGGATATCGTTCTCCTGAAGTTTGTTTTTCATTTTTTTTCAGTTCAAAATGGATGACATTTGTTAATGGGCCTTCCCCAACATTTCTCATTGTGCAAACAATCGACACTTTGACAGTGATATTGTCCTTTCTTAAAATTAGTTCAACTTTGAAGCGAAGTCTTCAAAATTGGGTTGTGTAAAATAATATCACGTCTTCCCTTGTTAATGGTTTGATATGGACATTTGTGTGCTCTCAGACATCTTCGATAAATCATATGTAACCTCAGACTGATCCGCCATTGTTTGATAATGGATAATGTCGAGGCAATTGTTAAACACAAAATTAATAACAGAGAACTGATGTTAAAACAAAACAGAGAAGCCACTTTAACGGCATTAAAGCACTTTAATCGCAATGAAATAGCGCTACTGTGAGAAAGATATCAAAATCAATTAATGAAATATTTCATACGAAACATTTAGTAAGAAACATACTACCCTTGTAAGGAACAAGTTTAGGGAGGGAAAATGAACAGTCAGTAGGGAACTACCTTAATTACTTCATCATTTAAGGCTTTAATTCTAAGATATGTTAAAACTCCTCTTGTATATATTATCTATGAGGTAAATATCATTACCGAGCCACCCAAAAGCACACCAAAAGTAAGCTGAACATCCGATTTTATGCAAAACGAACACATTTTAAACATGCCCTAAACATGCCGATGCTATCCATTTATGAATTTTAATATATTGCAAACTTGGTTATTAATGCTGTTTCCTTTCTTTGTGTATTGAGTATCTTCAAAGAATGAAAATTCAACACGTAACTATTACTAAACTAGAATTTTAACATATATCATATACAACTAATGAAATTGTACTCTCCGGCTACTTGGTGCTTCCTATAACAACTGTATGGTTAAGCTCGTCTAGTGGCTTCTGTACTATGTATTCTTGAAAGAACGACTTATTAGCAGTGATATAACCCAGTGGTAATGAATTACAATCAAACGTAACAAAGTTGCAGCATTCAATTCAAGTGGAATTCGGATTAAAATGAAATTGTATTTTTTAGAAGCATTTTTATTGCCATGCTTATAGTAAAAAGCTCTAAAAAGTCCAATTATAAACCAAGCAAAAGAAACTTCTGAAATCACGGTTCTTCTCGAGTTTCCGTGGTACCAATATACATTTTTGTCACCAGCAAATTTTAGAATTTCTGGCTTAACCTAATTATACTAAAGATGAACTCAAAATGTAAGGCGCCATCTGATTGTAATTTTTATTTCTTAGTATTGACACCCATTTATAAAAAGCTTTTATCATTATTATTGCCGAAAACAGTAGAGCACGCATCAGAGCAATAAACATGCATTAAATGTTCTAAATGGAGTCATTAAGCCTATTAACCATGCAGTAAGTTTTGAAGTGCTCTCATCAAAGATTGCGCATATAACCATTTAATTTGCCGTATTTCATGCGTAATTTGACACAATAATCACGTCATATTTAGCTGTTTTAGACCATAATGTGTCTGTTTCCTGTAATCGGTTCCACAGATTCGCACCTGGCGTTGGTACATCATGTCGATGTAATCTCCCTATCCTGGAAAGGGTTCTATATTGTCAAAATAGGTTTAAGCGGTTGATCATAAAATTAATATTGCACAAAATGTGTGACAGTTTAAATGTATCTATTGTAAGTTTCACTTTTTATTTATTTTGTCGTTATATTTTATAATATATTCAAGTGTCAGTCATTTATATAGGGTAGTTACCTACTGTCTTTGAACTTTTATCTCAAACAGAAATCAACTAATAAATAAAAAATCATCATTTATCATAAATTGTAAAAAGATTAAATCTGCAGTGGTTATTTATTTTGCCGTATTACAAAAAAAGTAAATATACAAAAACAAAAATATGAATAGACATGACTATCGTTTCTCACCAAAGCCTGTTTTCTTTTTATTTTGCTCGCTAATTTGGTTTTTTCATTTTTTAAGTAATTGATAGTTATATGGAAAGCCTAAATATCAGAAATTTATACACAGACATAAAAATGATAAGTCAAAGAGACGCGGAAGGTTCCAAAGAGATAGTCAAAATCACAAGTCGAAAACGAACCGACAATGCCATGGCAAAAAAACGAAAAACTAGCAAAAGGCAAACAACAGGCTACACAAAACAACATAGAAAACTAAAGACTGAGCAACAAGAACCCCATCAAAAAATTATTGAAAGCAGAATGTTGTCGATAGAATATCTGTTATCTCAATAATATAATTTGATTTTCTTGTAAAAAGTAACAATACACAAATGTGGAAACAGAATACATGTCAGAGAGACAAACAACAGGATGGCGAAAAAAGAGACAAACAGACAAAAAAGTCCACAAAACAATGCACTGAAAACGAAAAATTAAGTGACTGGAATTCAAACAAAAACAGCTGACAACACAGGTGCTCCGGAATGGTAATTATCAGTATCTATTTTTGTTAATTCTTCCACGAGATTGTTTTACTTAAACAGTTCACATGCTACATGTGCATGTAAACAGTGAAACGAAGATGATTTTTCTTTGCAGATCCCAACATGAATATATTGTGTTCTACATATGAATCAAAAGAAGAATGGGATAGTGTCAGTGAAACAGTATCACATCACAAAGATGCAAAAATAGAGGGCAGACAGTCTTCAATAATGAAAAGGCATCCATACAATAGATACCCATGTAGCTGTAATTTATCAAATGTCTAAACAAGTTGTGGTGTTTAAGGGTATAACCGTTTTGACAATGCATGTTGATTGGCTACGTTGAGCCACATGATCAATACCGTCACGCGCTACGATAGCATCCTTTCAACGACAGTTCGCTGTAATTGTCCATAGACTGCGTTTTAAACGAACGTTTTTACCACCTGTGTAAAAGGACCCCTGTCTTATATGATCAGTATTTATTTTAATGAATGTTACTTTATAAATTACCTTAATATAAAACAACTTGTCTAACTTGACATTTATCATGAACTATACAGTCTTCTTTTACTTGTTGATATGAATGCAATATTTTTATATGTTTAAACATGACTATTATGCTATATTTTAAGCACAAAGCCGGAACCTGTAAATTAGAACACATTGTCCTTATTTAGTCTTCTCCTCGCACGTCACTTAAAACAACTTTGACTGTAGATAACGTTTAAGAAGATATCAAACAATACATTGATTGCTATCTCTGTGATGTTGCATGAAATAATTTATGTAGTGTTACAACTGATATTGAGATGAAATAGAGATATTAGTTTTGTTATCAAATCTAGTACCATGAACTGTCAAATGTGGCTTGCAAATAGTTATGCAGTATTGTGTTACTCAACTTTCTGTTTTGATTTTCGTTCAGATTCAGATTTAACAATTATCTAACAAATATATCAATAAGGATATTTATACTTATGAAACAAGTGCTAAAATAATAATCCATAATTCAAATCAAGTATGATTATTTTCGTCCAATTTTACAATTGGCATCCATATTAAACTTTTCGATACCTTTTGTGCATTCGTTAAAGAATCCCTGTTCTTTTTTTAACTTTTATGTATCGGTTTTCAATTTAGCTTTCCGTTTTTAGAATTATGATAATGATGTTTGAAAGAAGTCAATTGTAATAACAATTTACATAAATATACAAGTGGAAAATAGTGAAAATAAATGAATAAATTTGAATAATTTTTATGAATGAAGAAAATGACCTAGATTCATGATAGGGAAATAATCAACCTTTTACTAGGAGTATAATGTAAAATTTACAATTCTAATTTTATGAGAAACTAAATAAAATTGTGGTTAACAATACATAAACAGCAGCTTGCCTACTGGCTTGAGTATTTATGTTTACAATATTGTTATTCATTAATTCTAATAAAATTCAAAATATTTACACAATCACTCATGGCACTCTTTAACTATTTGCAGAATTCGAAATGGAATCTAGATATATGCAAGAAGTTAAAACACCTACAGCTATATGGACACATAACACATTGAGTGGAAGGTACAGTTTATATTAACTTTCTCTTGTTTACATACTTTTGATTTTCTGTAATACTATTCATACATTCAATGTAATCTGTTATCTAAACTTGCACACAAAAATATTGACTGCTTTTGCATAAAACATGTGAGAAGTTAATTTTATATTGTCGATGAGGATCTGCTTACTCATCCTGTTATTGGTGGGGTTTTTGTTGCTCAATTTTTAAGTCTTCTCTGTATTGACTTGTTATTGTTGTTTGTCTTTTTTTTTCGTTTTCTTTAAGACAATGGTGTTGTCTGTTTTCTACTTATGATATTTTATCCCCCAAACCCCTTTGGTATATTTTCTCTTTTTTATAGAAATTGATTACGTAATATTTCAAATATTAAAAGAATTGTTATCTGAGGTTAAAGGAATACAAGATGGAAAGCTAATTTGTCCCTGCTGTGTATTGTTCATGTGAAAAATTATCTTGTAAATCCCCTTAGATTTGGAATTTGGGTATTTAGTATTGTTGTTTTTCACTTGTTCCGTTGATTGGTAGCGTTTGATTTTGTCAGTGTTTATGAACTTCACCTTTTTGAATTTGCCTTTGAGTTCGGTATTTATTGTAATACTTTCTCACACAATTCTCTTGCAGTCAATTCAGTTCTGTTCAATAGCTTTTCAGACAATTCAGTATGATATTAAATTTAAGTCTTAAAGTTGACTGATTGACTGAAAATGAAACGATAATTAATTGTTCTGTCTATTAAGAACCGTTTGGATCAAAATGACCGTTTCAGATCATAATTAGGATACTACTGAAACTAAAGCGCAAAATTAATATGCGGCTGTATATGTTTTATTGACCATGGACTTCATAATTTCAATTAAAATTTTTAATATTTATTACACAAAATAAGGTCCCACATGCATACACATAGGCATAACAATAAAAGACTATAGATAAATACAACCAAACATTTATGCTGCTGTCAAAGTAAATATATACAACACATCTCCTTTTACTCTCAGGAATAATGGACAAACTGTGTAAAGAGCGCTCTATCTATAATGATAATTTTTCTCCAATGACCGTATGGTTTTGAATTTATTTCTGTCGTCCTTTGGTTTATATTGGATGGGAATGATTTGGCTTTTTTGAATATTTTTCTTATTTGTTATTGTTTTTGGGGCATATGTTTTTGGCATTTCTTTATCATATTTAATTGTTTTTTTAAAGTCTTTTTTTTTAGTAAGATTGTTGGATGTTTTTGTTTAGTTCTGATTATTGTTTGTGGAGTGTATTTTTACGTTATTTATATTCTGCCTATGTTTTAAACCTTTACAATATTTTCTGACGTTACAGTTCTTTTATAACTCTTCATCATTCAAAGCCTTTTTGGGGGCAAAGTATTATTCTTGTATTTGCGCTATTTTTACCACTTAGAAATTATAATGAAGGAATCATAATGAAGTTCTAACTTGACAGGACTTTATTGCCATTTTGCACGTGTTACTGTACTGGTTTTTATATTCTTAAAGTAAACCTTATTTGTTCACAAATTATAAATATGTAGGAAAAGCTTTCGATAATGAATGTATTTCCAATCTGTCCGGGCTTATAATTGTAGATACACAAAGATATTTCTTTTCGTCTACTAATACTACTTGCATTTTCAAATATATAAAAAGTTAAATAACAAAAGTACCGAACTCCAAGGAAAATTCAAAACGGAAAGTCCCTTCTTATTTAATGGAAAATCAAAAGCTCAAACACATCAAACAAATGGAAAACAACTGTCGTATTCCTTAGTATGTTTCATTCTAATTGTGATGCTTTTATAATCCTTCAACACAAAGCACAAGTATACTTATTTAATATCTGCTTGTAACATTTAAGCAATTTACATATTTAGATAAAACGTTTTGGTAAACAATTACTCCCCTTGTCCCTGAGTACAAGTTGTTGGTTTGCTCTGGTTTGATGTTTACGTTATCAGTATCATTACAATAATGCAGGATTTCTACAAACGTAAATCGCATATGCTAAATCAGCACACACAAATAAAGACCTATAAATGTAAAATTTTAGTATGATGAATAGTTTTCTCATTTTACTTTATTTTTTTTGACAAATATAGGATATTTTGAATATTTTCTTTAATCGAATGTTGACGATCTTTGAATAGTGAACCTAACAATAAATGACAATGAACAACAAAAACAGAATTAAAAAATGAGGGTTCATTATCATGCCCACAAGGTACGAACCTGGATATATAAATCTTGCTTGTGAATAAAACCCAGTTATTGGTTTCAAAATATATATAAATTCATATTTGAGACAGATAGGTTTCATCCATTAAACGTGTTCTTTCTGCAATCATTTGGTTTAATATTATCATTTAAAACTCACTAAAATCCCATTGATTAGCAATAATAAAGTCATCTATCTTTCTCACATGTTTCAAAACTGGCTCATTTAATTCAATCATTAAATTATCGTTAAACATCACGAGCAGAAGAAAAAAGTTATCGAAATCACTTTAGCCAGTTTACTGGTAAACGGAATAAGGTCAAATGTGAAAAATACTTCACAAAAATAAAATCTCACACCTGCTCAGTTAACAGCGAGGTATGCTGATTTTAACAGCAAAAAGTCAACAAATGTTCAACGTTCTACAAGAAACACACTTTTCTTTGAATTAATCAAATCATATTCTCATCAATCACTTAGTCTGACATTGGTCCTTTATCGTCATTCACTTCATCCGTTTAAGGATTCCGAATGGTGTACTATTCGGAAGCAAGACGTTACCTACAAAAACAAGAAACAAGCCTTATCAAGTTAGTAAATCTTTGTTTGTTTTTCTTTCAACTAAACATTCAATTAATTTTAATTGTGAAGTGACTACGTTTAGAGTCGCTCTGGTAGCCATTTTGTGTAGGCCAATCATTTGAATCTGTGATTTATCTCGGTTTTTAGGTGATTAATTTGCCGTTCTTGATTCCTAATAGCTTTCATTGAATAGCGATATTGAACGATAATTAGAACTGAGCAGTATTGAAATATGATACCATTATACAGAAAAATATCTTTTTCACGTAAAGTAATAAATTATACTAAGAGGGAGACTAGAAATAAAACACCACAGTTTGGATATCGTTAACATTAAAAACCATAACTGATGGCCAGAATTGATAACAATTACCATTAATAGCAGTAAATGACAAGGAAACACATGTAAACTTAATGTAATTTATTTATCATATTTTAACGGGTGGAATAATACATAAACCATCTTGTACACTACTAATGTATGCAAGGTTTGTCTTGTATAATGGCTTTCATATACAATGGGATTTGTAAAATATATTTTTTCTTTGAAAATAGATCTAACTGGTAATAATAAAATCTCTTTGTGTAGTTTACATTCTAAATTCCACATGGGTTGAGGCTGACATAGCGTTTTTTTAAATATGTTTCTTGGTAAAAGAGAATATGTGTTTGTAACATGAGATGCCGAGAACATACATAAAAAAAACTTATCTTATAAGAACAGTTTGGTATCAACGATAATGAATTTCATAATTGTGTTGTTCACTGTGTGTATCTGCAGTTTTGTATTTTCTGGCTGTAATTGAAGATAAACCAACGTTTAGCCTTTATTTCAATTACTACTACTAGTTACAAAGGAAAGCACTTATATATAATGAATTTCATTAATTGTTTTTATTGTTTCGGTAGTTAATGATAATCTGGTTGGAATCTGAGATGGACCAATGCTTAGTCGTCTTTATCCCAATATACTTACTATTACTTCTACTATGAACATCACTTATTTTGCTATTGTTCATTCTGGCACCACTGAAAGGTTTTCATCGATGGTCTAAAGATATCATATCCTGCAGTAACATCAGAATGAAAATACAGCGTGAACATAAGCGTCAATCTTTGATACTCACTGATAATCCAAAAAAGTGTTCTTGATGGTGTCCTTGATGGTACCCATGCAAGAGCTATTGAAAAATACTAACCCAAACCTCCGTGATTGGAATATATTTGTTCTGTTTTTTTCGCCGCTACCATGTTAACATTGTACGTGTGTATAAAATGTCTGTTTGAACATGGAATTGAATGACAAAAATAAATGAATTATTTGCAATGACTACGCCTAGACAGAAATGTTAAAGACAATAAATTGAACTCAAATATTTAAGTATTGTTGTTCGAGTGATGAAAATACATTTGTATTTATACGTTGTGGGTTAATAAATCGAAATACTTTGTTCCCACAAAACAGAGAGTTTTTGAAGCCATGAAATACGTTGTTTTAGCCATAGATTAAATAAAGACTCGACTTGAAAATGAAGAAAGACAGCTATTGTAAATTACTGAGCTTACTAGTTGAGCAGGAACTGTGTACCCTTCCGGAGCACCTTATTTTATGCTGGGTTTCTTTGCTCCATCTGCAGTTTCCTGTTTAGAATTTTTTTGGATTGTTGTTTGTCCTTTGACAATTTTTTTTTTTGCTTTTGGTCATGGTTTTGATTGCTACTATGATAAATTCTTACTTTTTTAATGGATAAAAAAGGAAGAAAATTTAATTCTTAAATTTAGAAATATATAAGACAATAATAAGTAACATCTGAGATGATAAGAAGTCTATACCTCTCTACAAACCCTGTCTTTTATGATCGCTTAGGAGTGTTTGTCTTCTAAAAAACAACCCCTGTTGGCTTTATTCTTGCTAAAAAACAACCCCTGTTAGCTTTATTCTTGCTAAAAAACAACCTCTGTTGGCTTTATTCTTGCTAAAAAACAACCCTTGCTGGCTTTATTCTTGCTAAAAAACAACCCCTGCTGGCTTTATTCTTGCTAAAAAGAAACAACCCCTGCTGGGTTTATTCTTGCTAAAAAAAACCTGGCTTGCTTTATTCTGGCTAAAACAACCGCTGCTGGCTTTATTCTGGTTAAAAACAACCCCTGCTGGCTTTCTTCTGGCTAAAAAACAACCCCTGCTGGCTTTATTCTGGCTAAAAAACAACCCCTGCTGGCTTTATTCCGGCTAAAAAACAACCCCTGCTGGCTTTATTCTTGCTAAAAAGAAACAACCTCTGCTGGCTTTATTCATGCTTAAAAACAACCCCTGCTGGCTTTATTCTTGCTTTTGCTATTGTACAATAATTTCTTATATTTGTACAGTATATAAAACAAGAATTATAGGTGAACAGAAAATCACAATCAATCCATAAACATTGATCTATGTTGGTTTAAATGAGAATATGCGAGGAATCCACCTTTAATTTGTCATCAGATTGTATTGTGTATAATACGCGATATCAATGCTTCTTTAAATTTAAGTTCTGTTAATGAACCCCACCTAATTGTTGTATTTTCTTTTTGAGTTTCTTATTCATTTATATAATTGTCATCCATCTTCCTATTTGATATTCTGTATTAAGAGACTCATAATTGTTCTACTAAAACAATAGTCCTTACAAATGTTCTGCAACATAAAAAAAATCGAAGAAAAATGTTGATTACACTACAAATCTCGTTTGTGATCGAATTTATTTTGGCAATAATACTTTAGGTTTTTCTCGTTGTCTAGAAAGATCATTTATTCTTAATTTTCGATATACTATAAAAATTGAAATCTATATTAATTCCTGGTGTCAAATTCTACAAATCTGGATATGTCTCATGAATTCTGTCTACAAAATATTTAAGGAACATAAAATACAATTACGAAATAATGACTTACAACCAAGATTTGTTTTCTAAAAAGGGTAGAGAACAGTGTATATTTCAATATCAATTTTTTTATATTCAATCTATGTTCACCTCTATGTGTTTTGTTTTCTAACATTAAAAAAAACCATATTTATTTTGTTTTACTTTAAGTCAATGTTGATATACATTTTATAAAAGAAAAAACCAATGAGTAAAGGTTTAATTTATTAATCAGCTTTATGCAAATCTGTGTATACATTCTTTTTTGTGTTTATGTTACATGTATATATGTATATTAATTTATTTGAAAATTTGGTTATTGTAAAATGTTCTTTGAGTAATTGTTTTGTCTTCATACCCCCACCCCACCCCCTTGCTTTTCTTCTAAGGTGTGTGTTTATTTTAATAAAAAAAAATATATTAAAAAGACTATAATTAAATACAATATGAAATGACACATACCTAGAAGTATACTAATTTTCATTGTTGTGAACATGCTATAGTTGTACCAAACATTTTTGAGGATCTTTCGTGTTGCTTATTCATTCACCTTCAAGTAAACTGTCTGCAGGGTTGAGTTTAAAATTGTCGTTTCATTGAAGTGTTGTAGCTTCCGAACTGTGTTTGCCAGCCATTAATATAGATTCTTTAACTGCATCGACAATTCTTTATATTATGAGATGATAAATTTCTCTTCATTGTCATCCTACAGACCTATGCAGAGGCTGGGGTGGTTTTAATATCAACATCCTACTTGCAGTGGTTGGTGGGAACAATTTTTATTTGATTGCTACTCTATTTTTAACAGGTATAAATTGAATTTCGGTTCAATTTGATACAATATTTCATGTTTTGTTGCATATGATGTAACAAATCTATAATTGTGATGTAGTTATGAAAACGACGTTCACAAGTTTGAAAAGATATTTAATATTTTCATAGTTAAGAAAAAATGTCTTTATGATATTTAAATTAATAATAAATAATAATATTTAACTAGATACTTATTTAATGTAACAAAATGTACAACATACTCTTCAATAATTGTTTGATTTTACATTTTTTTAGTTGAAAGAATCTAATGACGGGAAACAGATAATCGGCCCAATATGAATAAAATTTGAATATACGATCAAAATTAAAGCAGAAAAATCGTTTGAACTATAACAACAATTTTACGAATAATTAATATTTCATTCATGTATAATTTTTGTGATATATGGTAATTTCATTCAAATTAAATAAAGTTGAAGTGTTCTGAAAGTAACAACTTGACTACGTTTATGACTTTATTACAAAAGAACCAGTATAAAGTTACTGTAAGATTACATTGTATTTATGGGGATTTCTTGCTGTTTCAAAGGTAGGAGCACACTCTGTCATTAACAAATGTAATTAATCTATCAAAATAACCAATGCATTTAATAATTTATTTACCAAAGCTATGTTAACCTTTCTGTTAACCTTATAATCGTCCTATTCTATTCCGATTCAGCCATTATTTATATCCAATGACTTTCATGCTAGGATTACTCAGTATATTGTCATAGAAATGCTATATATAATTTTCTGAATTTCGTTATATATGTGTTCAAGAAATATGTGTATTTTTTTATACTATAAACAATGTTTTGTTTGACGAGTTTAAATCTTTTAAATCTAAAATGATAGTAAGATGTTGTATTAAAGGAAATGATTTAATTTCTACGGTATTCATTGTTTTTACCTCATTAGAACAAACAATATCTATAGTTGTTCAAAAATGTAGGAATTTTTAAATTGAATTTATGAAACTAATGTTTAAACTCCCTCAGGCAAAGTTGACCTTAAATGGATTTGGCTATTATTTTAGGCCTTTTTTTGGTCATGTAGCTTTTCAACTGTTTTGTTTCTTATACATCCTTGTCTTTCAAATATTCGGCTTTGAGCGTTCCTGGTGAAGGTAAATCCAGAAAAGCGCTTCGGACGCATGACATTTATAACGTATTGTTTTTCATTTTTTCAAATATAAGTTGTGGATTTCAGATAAAAGCTAACATAGTAGAAAAACAAAGGATATGGGGTGTCCATCCATGACACAAAATCAGTACATGCACAGCAAAAAACACACAATACGTTATATTCATTTACAGGATATATATAAATATAACAATTTAAAAACAAATTAAAGGAATACAATAACTAATATAATCTTAAATATTATTTTGCCAAAGAACCAAGAATGGTTTAGCATTTATCAACATTGTCCTCTTCCCATTTACAACTTAAACAAAATTATCCTTTAAATATTCCATGTACAAGTTTTGATTTTACAGTTTAATTAAATATTTACAAAGCCTGTGATTGTACGTTTAAAATTGATAGAATTTGGTAAAGTAGTTTACAATTCATGTCTTCTTCCAATTAGAAATCATTACAATGTTTGCTTTGCTTGTAACTAATTACAAAGTTGATATCATTTCGTCTAATATAACATTGCAATATAATTTGCAAAATTCAAAGCGAAACAAAATAGTATTCGTACCGTCATGGTATACGCCATCTAATTTTCAACAATCACTCTGCATTTTATATCGAATCGATATTAAAAAAAATGCATGTTACATAAAACAAATTACAGTAAATACTCAAATAATATAATTTTCGAATAAAAAAATGTACTCAATTATTCAATTATAAATTGATTTACACCACGATTTAATGTCAAGTAAATTACCGTCATGCGGATTAATTTAAATTTATAATTTTGTCGAAGATGTTGAAATACCCCTATAGCTGTGTCGTAGTTAGTTTTCATAGAAAAACTGATAATACTCGTTAATTTGAAATTTATACATGACGTCTTTTTCTCCTCGTGTGCAATAAAAGAAAAATATATTGGACATATTAAGAGAGTATGAAATAATATTTTCTGTAAATTATCTACGATAAAATTGTACTTTGAAACGAATCAAAAACATATTTTTCAGTTACAAATTATATAGTTTCCACTTGTATGATTGACAGAAACACATGATGATTTATTTGTTTTTGTGTATCTTGTTAAATCTGAATCATTATCATTATCATCATAATTATTTTATTATTTCTAAGATATATGTATTTTTATTTTTACGCATTGGAAATAAAATAAAAACAACATTAAGCGTTTACAATTTCACCCCACACTTTAACATTTGTTTAGGAAAAGCAGGCTTGATTCTGTGCTAAGCTAAACATATAATAGAAGCTAATTTAACAATTAATTTCAAATTTTCAAGCAAATGTTTGAATCAATACTTAAGGCACCACACTGAGAGAATGAAACATTCAATTTTATCATTCATGTAATGTATAAGCTACCAAATGGCTCAATTAACAACAAATTACAACTCTTGGTGCCACTGGCATAACGGTTCGAATCATCTCGATGAGGATATTAAATTATAACACATTAAGGCGTAAATTGTAGGTCCTTAGGGAAAGAGGATAGGGGATTTTCACAAGTTATGCCGACTTTGTCTGTCCAGATCCGCAAGATTAAGATACATGGTTGCGTGCCGATTCCTTAGACATTTTCTGGATTATTGATCAAATAATTTCGATTTATTTCTAAAATAAAACAGACAATAGTTATGGGTCAAACTGATTACACGTGGTGATGATTTATTTCAGCTGGTATAAAGTATGACAACAAAAATGAGGGGCGGATACCAGTAATTGTTACTTTCATTGATTTTTTAAAAAGAATTGTAAGAACCAGCTCCATGCATGCATACATGGTATCTGGACAAAAAGTATAAAAACTGATTAGCATCGTATTAATTTATTGATATTGTTTAATTCTATTTCCCGTGTCAATGATATATTTTATGCACAGTTGTCTAAATTTCTATCGCCTTGCATGATATAATTAATCGATTATGATGCACAACTGTGAATGAAGTGACATTATTGTATATTTATACACATTAACTTTTGTTTTTTCTTTAATTTGAATAACAAAGTATTAAAAATGATGCTTGATAATTTTGAATTATAACATTAATACAGTGATAAAGGGGAGAGAACACGAATTAACAACAATAACTCATATCTTATCTCATTGAAAACTAACATATGTGGTTAATTTGTTAAATAAATTGCTGGTGGTTTTATTATAATTTGATTTTATTAAAATCAGTCCATACTTCAGAGATGTTAACGAAATATATAAATTCAGATAATATTCAAGCTCAAAATTATATTAATAAATTAAAATATATAATATAATATTTAAGTATTATATATCTATATGAATCTTAAAATTTTTACATAAACGCTCATATAATTATTGAAAGAACCAGCAAAAATTCGTATTTTTAATACAAAATTGAGAGAGAGAAAATGTCATGAAAAGGACACATTTGTGCTGAGGAAATGTATAGAGACAAGCAAGATGTAATTTAATTTCTAATGATTATCACTCGAGAAAAATATCTTTGAAGACCTAGTTTGCATTTTTTGCACCTGAATCAGGAAAACTTAAACAAAAATTGCATTTATATGCACAATTTTTATTTAATATGGAATGCAACGCTTCATGAAGCTTTAAGGACGTAATTACCTGATGAAATATTATTCCAAAATTGATTTTAAAATGTAACTAGACAGATGCTATATTCGGTTTCGGTTTCCTCAAATATAAATCATCCACTACAAAATTGATACATAATAATATTTGAATGACATATACGGTTTGGAAATATTAAAGATTTTATAACAATAACTATTCATTTGTTAAGTGTGTATTCTATCGTGCAAATTAATTATTTTATTTTAGGTATTTAGCTGCAGATATTTTGAGGATTTTTGTATAAATTATATCATATAAAAGCACAATTAAACTTTATGTACCACATTATTAAGCGTTAGATAGTTTCGTTCAATATTTTTGTCAATGACGTTGACTTCTGATAACGAATTTTAAGACTACCAGTCATAGTAGTTGTTTAAAAATCTGAAACTGCAATATTGTTTTGCTCTTAAAGTTATCCGTTTATTTTCTCTTCCAGCTTTTGTGTGGGTTAGAATTATGTATTTTTCATTTAGTAATTATTTTTATTTATTTTAAATTAAACACGAGCGTCGAATTTGACTGTTTTTATGCATGTTGACTATATTATTTTTACTTAATGAATAAATATAAATAAAAAGTACCAATATGTTGCTGTTTCTTTGAAATCTATAGTGTCACTATAGGTGACGTCATACAGGAGGAAAATACTTGAATAAATAGAATTATTCGTATTTTGTCATCATCGATCGCGACACCGATATTCCTTGAAAATTAACCAATTTACGACAAGCTTCCGCAAAAATTTCGAAGAGATGCTTTCGATTTTACCATATACTTTGAATAATACCTTCTTTGTAAGCAACAAAAATCTTTAAAGGTAATCATTTCGAGAAACTCAAGCTCCCAAATATATAAAACGTAACAGCTATATATATGCAGGAGCTGCGGGAATGTTGCTACACAAAACCGGAAAGATCTAAATGGAAAAAGTTAAGTCATTTCTTATATTGTAAAACATACGTATGAAGAAGATCTATAGGTGCGTATGATATTCTTTGTTTCAAGTGTGATCAACATGGTCGCCAAACATTGAAATATTCAGTGAAAGGGTGGCATCTTAAGGGCGTAACGTGATTTTAAACGGTAACACCTGTAGCTTTGCATTCTTCTTGAGGAATCTTCTACTGTGTCTGTTACATACGAATATACGAACAGTTGATACCCAT